GCTGGGGTGTTTATGCAATAGGATGGTCGGTTAGTATGACCAAACACTTGAATGACTGGGAAGTGGAGGAATATGAAGCTTTACTACAACTCTGGGCCAACATTCAATTGAATCCATGTGATGATCAACTTGTGTGAAAGTTGAAGAAGAATAGTTCATTCATGGTGAGATCTTTGTATAATTATTGACAACTAAATGGGAATCGAAAGGGCGGTTCTTCCTGGCCAAGCAAGTTTGGATAACAAAAGTACCTCCAGGAATTACTTTTTTTTGCTTGGGCAGCAGGTAGAGAATATATTCTAACCATTGATAAGCTGATGCAAAGAGGGGGTGTTTGGTGGACAGATGCTATTTGTGCAAGAAGGCTGTGGAAATTGTAACCACTTACTGCTTTAGTGCCCAATGTTCTATAGTTTGTGGTTTATGGTATATTGTCTGCTTGGGATTTCTTGGGTCATTGCAGGGTCGGTAAAGGATGAGATCAGGGCTTGGGGAAGTTTATGTAAAATGAAAACATTTGCTAGTCTCCTTCCTTTGACTATATTTTGGGTTATTTGAAAAGAGAAAAATAGTAGGTCCTTTAACGGATTGGAAAACAAGATTCACAATTGAGGGATAGGTGGTTTTATTAATTTGGGTCTATTTTATTGGGGCATGATAACTCTAGGGTGGAAAATTTTGGGTATATAGTTGGCACGCTTACTAACTCATAAATATTTTGTAAATGGGTAGTACCCCTTGGGTATCTATGATTCTTTAATATAGTTTTCGCTTTTACACTAAAAAAAGATGTAATCAAAATTTTACCACAGCATGATCCAACTTCTGTGAATAGATATTACTTTTTCAAGTAAACTCCAGTGAACCAAATGTGTCTTGGATTAATGAGCGAGCGGATAATTTTTTAACCAACTAATTTAATGGAACTACTTTAGAAAATTAAATAAGTTGTTTGAAAGGAACACTTTTAGAAAATTAAACAAGTATTTAGAATCGGAGATCTCCAATTGCAATAATCAACTAAAGTTCTTAATATCATTTGTATGATAATCTTGGAAATATCATGATGTTAAATTTTACTATGATAGCAATTTTATGTCACCCGTAACAATCCTCACCGCTATCACAAAAAAAAAAAAGGAAAATAAAATGACTTATTTATCAGATCCTCAGTAGCAGCTGCTAATCGTGGAGTAGGAATTACTCAACTAGAATAGAAGCTAAATAATTTTCCTGAATGGTCATTGACCTCCGAAGTTCTACTATATTGCCAAAATAAAGTAATATTTCTAATGTTATATAAAGCCTGAAAATTCATCTTTATTTTGATAATATTTCTTAACAACTATACTTTTTTCTTTAGTGCCTCCCCTTATTGTGCATTTAATCTGTACAACGATATGTTAGCAGAACGTAAGCATTCTTATTATCGTAAAAGGAGAAAACTGAAGATTGCGATGGTATATATCTTTCTAGTTGTTTCAATCTTTTCCAGCTTGACTGACAATGATGTAAAAATTCAAAAGCTTGAAGAAGTTCACTAATTGACTGGAGAAGGTAGAACGCTGGTCGGCCACGACGGCCGGCTATTAGGATAACAGGATGAGTATAAGATGCCGCAAGTTTGTGATGATTGAGAGGAAAACATTTGACTTAGTGAATGAAGGGGAAGATTTGAAGTGCTTAAGAATAAGTGAGAATAGTTGGGGATTTAGAGCATCGATTCCGAGGGAGAAGGAGGAGTTTGAGTGGCTGTTGGACTCGCTGGAAGACTTTTATTGGCGGAAGGGGCAAGATTTCTGGAGGAGGAGCAAGGTTGGGCATGGTTCCCGGTTCGGAATTGTGCTGGGATGGAATAGAAGAGGGAGGTTCCTGATTCTGTCCGAAGTGAGAAGTAAATATGCGAAACAGATAATCATCCCAGACGGGTTGGAAGAGGGCGGATGGTGGGAAATAATGAGATTTGCTTTTGAACTTGCTGAGAAAGTTCATCAATCCGGACGGGAGGGGAAAGAGAATGGAGGAAAAAGATTGCAGGGAAGCGACGACAGACAGGACTAATAGCAATGAAGGCAGCTGTTTTCAATGCCCCAAATGCCAAATGGAGTGGTGTATTTCGATAGCATTGATACCCATGTATGCGGCGGCTATGAAGAGGAATGGTGAGAGCAGGAGTCGGATAGGGCAGAAAAGACCCGTTCACGAATCGGGTCAGGTCATTTTGGATTTTCAAATGGATAGACAAGGGAGGGAGAATGCAAAATGCAATGAGGGCCCATCGTTTGGGCGGTGATGTGAGAAAGGGTTTAAAAATAAATTGGGTCGGAGCAGGGGGAGCGAAAGGGAAAAGAAAATTTTTGTTAGATTGAAAAGGAAAAATGGGTCAATCAACCCGGCCCAAGTCAACCCAAAAATTTGAATCCGAATGGGAGAAAGGAAAGTGAGTCCTGAACTAGGTCTGCAAAAGAAAAGAAGCGGAAGGAAGAGCAGAGTGCGAAAGAAGAAAGAGAGGTTGAAGATTAAAGAGAGAGAAGAGGAGGCGGAAGCCGGAAAATCGGTGTCGGAACCAGAAAATCTGTCTGTTTCACGTGAAAACGACGAACAGGTGGAAATGTTGACAGTCTTGATGGGGGAAGGAGAGCAGACTGAAATACCGGAAATGTGGGGTGAA